CTTTAGCGAGGTTGTCGATGATGAAGAACGGCTCTCTGCTCCCATCAACGTCCAGCTCTACGGCGCCGACCACCTCCATCCTGTTTCTCTGTGCAGCTGTGATCCGGGAATCTGCATCCGGCGCGATTATCTCGAGCTTCGGATCATCTAGGTCGATGATTGCCGTGGATATGGCGTTCACGTCAGCTCCGGTGTCAAGGGTTGCAATTCTCGGTTGTCCCAAAATGCATATGCGAGTCTCGAAGGGATTTTCGGTGTTCCCGATACTTTGAATGCGGAAGGACAATAACGAAATTGCAAAATGGCACCGAAGCCGAAGAGCTTCCTGCGAGAATTAGTTGACGACTTCAATGCCAAAGAAAGATCGAGACTCGACGTAAGCGATCTGTCGGCTCTTCTGAAGAGCATCAATGACTCGGAGGTCCTGGAAAAGAATCCTTTGCTCGGCGTCAGCAGGTGGCGAAGACAGCATGGCATTTCAGCCGAAGCTGTGATTCAGCTCGCGGAGGCGATACAGCACCGCTTAATGGATCGAGCCAACGACGAGAATACACGGAAGCAACTGATCACAAACATCGAGAAGGATATCCTCGTAGGGCAACTGGATAAAGTAACCGACGTCCGTGGAGCATTCGCGGAAGTCGAAGACGATCCTCCGATGGCCCCAAGGTGTCTCTCCGGCTCATTGACTCCGTCGACTTACGAAGTGAGGGAAATCTATTCCTTCCTTCTGCATGCGATACTGTCTGAGGAAGGGAAAGGCCTGGGCGAAATAATCGAGGAGTACTCCGGCGACCTGAGACCCGGGACGCCTGTGGAAATTTTACGCTTTCCGGTCACCGTAGCCATTCTTGACCTCGTACGTCGCCTGATCCAGGAAGACGACCTGACGGTCTTCGGATTTCTGGATGCCAGCACAGGAAGGGTCCTCAAGGACCTCTACTCGCTCCGTGTGCTGGAGGACGAAATACTCGCGAGCGAAACGCAGAAGAAGAAAATCATTAGCCAGAGCCCGGCAGCAATCGTTATGCGACCAGTCATGGTCCGGAAGTGGAGTCTCGAGAGAATTTTCGCATTCTCGGCAGCAGCAATCCTGGCAAGTGGAGTCCGAGAAGCTCGGATGAACGCCGACCGAAAAAAAGTCTCGGAAACCTCTCAAGGAACCCAGACATCTTCGGAGGAGCCGTCATTGTCGAAACGATCAATAGGTGTCCAAAGCTCGACGACTCCCTTGGCAGGACCAGCGGCGCCTCTCATAGGACCGATGACGATACTTGAAGACATGTTCCCTGGCCTCGAGCATTTGGTGGAGGGGGGCTCGCTGATAAGCGGCGTCGCGGAGCTCTGGAAAGAGATAGGATCACTCGGCTCTGACCAGCAGTTCATGCAAGCGTCCATCTCCAATCTTTTTATCCATTTTCTGGGTTTTTCTTGATCGAATGCTGGTAGGTCGGGGAGTGGTGCAAGACCTTCGAGCAAGGCTGAGTGAGAGGGTTTCTACAGTCAGAGGTTGTTGAACATTCTGTGGTCCGTCTCCTTCCATGGCTTGGGTTCCGTTTCCTGCTGCCACCAAATGTAACGTGTGATAAGCCAGATAACGAAGGTAGGGAATGAATGTTAATTTATTCCTGGACGAGTCGCCTCAATACCTCATACCATACTATACCATACCATACCATACCATACCATACCATACCATACCATACCATACCATACCATACCACACCATACCATACCATACCATACCATACCATACCATACCATACCATACCATACCATACCATACCATACCATACCATACCATACCATACCATACCATAACAGTTTTCCTTCCTTGGCGTCTCTTTGCCATGTTCGTATTCACGTTTTCGTTTTCACCCTTCCAAGGATTTTTTTTTGAGAGGGAAAATGCGTTTACGCAGGCTCACGGTTGAGTACTGTGGGGCTCGTCCTCGCAGAAACTACCCGCTAAAACCTCTCATGTGTGTGTAGCCGCATCCGTCGCCGGTATCACTAGTTTCCGTCAGCGGGGAGGCGGGAGACCGAAGTCTCAGTGCGGTGTGTTGTTCGTAGGGTACCCTTCCAAGGATGACACCCCTAGCTTTTTTCGACGTCAGAAGTCCGATTAGCTTCGGTGTCTTGAGAGGAACTTCAAGCTGGCTGTCCGCTCGATGGCAATCGCAAAATTAATTATAGAGATGGACTGGCTAAAATGCGGGAGATTGTGACGAAGCTTCGACGAAGACTAAAATTGCGTCGTTCTGGATCACAGGCTAAGAGATAATTCCAGAAAAACTAACCATGTTTACGTTTGCTAGCAGCTTGAACGTTTCGATCTTGTCTCGACATTCCAAGTCACCTTCACTCTGTCCTGATCTCCGAATTCTTCGTTTCGATCGAATTGATTCACACCGGTACCGAGCGAATGCTTCACTTGTGTTCCTCACACGCCTTTGTCTTCTTCTAGTCGGGGTGTGAGACGATCTCAATTGAGTGGCGCCAATATCGAGGGATTTTTCTTTCGTATTCTCGGCGCGCGACTTCTCTGACGATGCATCTCGAGGTTATCAAAGAATGTTAGTCGGTAATCATACTTTGTGAGGCTTGTCATAGGTCATAGGTCATAGGGTTCTTAACGATGGCTGTAACGATGGTTTTTCGGTTCATGTGGGGTTGAATTTTCCATTTTTTTACCATGCTTTCCGAATTGTCCCTGTGATCGCCCGTTGGAATTCGTGTCAGCGTTCGGGGTCAGGCGCATTTGAGTTTTCGAAGCGCCACTGATTGCCGATGCAAGACTGCGCAATGTTTATTTATAGAGGGCGTTGTAACCACTATCAAGTTGTGACCGCGCGAAAGAATCGAAACGTCAAACAGTATCGCCTCGAAACATATCTATGATAAACCTCGCATAGCGTTCGTCGCTATTGAAGTCACTTCGATTTGATCAATAATATAGCCACGAATGGCAATTCTTATTTTGCGTCAGAGGACCGTGAAAATCCGGGAGCTTATGGATATACTATGTTTGTTGTTTCCCCTCCCGATGCGAGTATAGGGAAATCTTTCGGTTTTCCGACACGGGAGCATGCAACATATAACTGCCCGTGGGAGAAACAGGGATTCGATAAATTCACGCAACTTTGCATTGATTGTCCTTGCGCTTTGTTGATTGTCATTGCAGACGCTAGACGTATCGGGAATTGCGAACGCGGTCATTTGAGCGAAATGTCAAATGGGCGGATCGACCATTTGGGCGAAATGCCATTTGGACGGACGGCCTGCTGCCGAACAAATCGGAATCGACGTACACACGAGCCCTCGATCTGCTCAAAGGTGCTTCGCCGGCCTTGAGTCCGTCATCGATCGTGATGGATTCCGAGAGGGCAGTCATGAACGCCGCAAGGGGCTGCTTCTCAGGCGTGCGTATCGATGGATGTTCCTTCCATCTTGTGAAAAACATCAAGCTCCGAGTTGCGAACGAAGGACTCATGAGTCGGTATGAGGGGGCGAGGGTTCGCTGGTTCTTGGGATGAAATATCATTCCTTACACAGACCATCCCCCTGTCTATCCCCCATTCTATATAATGTCAATCTTCCCCCAATTATTGCAACGACGATGAGTTCACGCTGAGAACGCGCATGATCGCCGCTCTCGCGCTCGTTCCGCCGTTGAATTTGGAAAACGCGGATGCCGAGTTGGCTCCGCTTCTGCCAGAGGGACTTGTACCGATCCTCAACTGGGTAGACTGAATCGCATCGCCCCCGACGGAACGATTGAGAGGAGGCAGGCGCTGTTCCCCAAGGAGATGTGGTCGGTATATCAAAGAACACTCGACGGAGAAGCCCGAACGAACAATTATGCAGAGGCAGCGCATCGCCGGATGCAGCTCGAGTTTGGCGTCAGTCATCCAACCTTGTGGAAATTCATCGATGGACTGACATCAGAAGGATCCAAAAAAATTGGGACTTCCAGATGAAGCACTACGTTGGGGGCGCGCCCGCGCCTAAGAAGCGTAACAAATACGTGGGGGCAGACAATCGGATTCTAACCGTTGTCCGCGACGCTTCGAACCGGAGCTTTGAAGAATATCTCAAGGGGCACAGCCTGAAACTTCCTAATTAAATCCTGAAGGAGATTGTGAACTCGGCGATCAATCCATCGGCAAGTCAAAAGAGCCCGTGGCCGAACCAAAGTACCGAACAGTCTCGCGAAGGACGGATTTGAGGCGATGACGACACTGCGAGATGCAGGCGTTTGAGGAAGTCGGAACGATTTTTCTCGGTTTCATTTCTGTAGATAATTTGACATCATAATTCTCCCACTGAACTTTACGTTTGTGTAAATACGTGTACAGAAGCGGAAAGAAAAGAACCGGAGTGGCGGGGTTACCCCCAGAATGACGCGACGAGAACGTCGCGACCGAAATGACGCGACGAGAACGTCGCGACCGAAATGACGCGACGGCAACGTCGCTGCCGGAATTACGCGGAGCCCGAAATGACGCGAACCCAAAATGACGCGAATCCAGAATGAAGCGAATTCAAAATGACGCGAATCAAAAATGATTCGAACCCAAAATGACGCGAAGCCAAAATGACGCGAAGCCAATGAAGCGGGCCCAGAATGACGCGGGCCCAAAAGTACCCGGGCTCAATCGACGCAGATAAAAAATTACGCGGAATTACGGAATAAGCTATAGCACCAATCCCTCATGGAAGTTAACCAGCTCGAGCCACTGGGATTCCATGCGAGCTACTCTCGAAACGCTAAAATTCATTATTCTCCTCATCCGTGATCGCTATAGAGATTCAGACAGCCTGCGATCAGAGAGACAAAGAGCCAATATGGCACATTCAGGTCCGAGGGCTTGACATATGTGGCTCCGGAGAGGCAGGGGGTTTACCATTCTCATTCCAGTGTGAAACTCGTCGCATGCAACATCGTGTCCTCATTATCTGTGCCTCAAGTTCGGAATCACCAAGAAGCTGCCCTCGAGATGGAGTTAGCCAGCAACAAAGGAGGTCGGAAATGCCATCATGAGGGATTTTCGTACAACTTCGATCGATTGTCAGCGGACGGATCAATCGGCTTCTGGCGTTGTGACCAAAGATCAACGTGTGGGGCGAGACTCCACACTGCGGGCAACGTCATTGTAAGAAAAATCGTCGAACACAAGCACGACGCAAGTCCAGCGGTGAACCTGGCCAGAGAAGCAATCGCAGCAATGAAGACGCGAGCGGAGGAGACTGTCGAGAGCACCACTCAAATCCTTCATGCGACTCTGGAGCTACTACCCCAGCACGTTCTTGGCGTCATGCCCCGGCAGGGTGCTTTGAAAAAGTGTATCCTGTATAAGCGAAAGACAGAACATCGGGCTCCTGCAGCTCCTGCGTCGTTGACCGAGCTCGAGTTCGCTGATGAATATACGACCTACAAAGTTTTGCCGAACTCTGCCGCAGAAAAGTTTTTGTTGGCCGACAGTGGACCAAGTCCGAATCGTATCGCCGTGTTCGGGAGGGAAACCAACATTGACAGATTCAGAAGGTCTTCGAGATGGTTTGTTGATGGGACTTTCTCGATCTCCCCACCTCTATTTTACCAGGTGTACATTAATTCTGGCCGAGCAGCACGGATCAGTGTTTCCGTTATTCTATGCCTTGCTGCCAGACAAGAGCGGGGACACCTACACGAGAATGTTCACGATGTTAAGGAGTCTTGACGATGAAATGGAAGCCACGATGCTGAGCTGCGATTTCGAATTGGCGGCGATAAATAGTATGCGCAAAATTTTCCCGAACGCTCACATAGGGGGATGTTTTTTCCACTTGGTGCAAAACCTGAGGAAGCAGGTTGCATCGAAAGGCCTACTGAGTCGCCACAATAACGACGCTGAATTCCACTGTAACTCGAAAATGATCGTATCATTAGCTTTTGTGCCGATTGACTCCATCGGAGAGGCATTCGAAGCTTTGTCGGACTTCTTGCCAGAGGACCTACATCCCATCCTCGAATGGTTTGAAGATAGCTACATTGGGAGACGTGACCGTAGAGGGCGACGTCGTGCGCCCCGATTCCCCCCTCCAATGTGGAATAAGTATGAACTCACGCTGACGGGAGGTCCAAGGACAAACTCTAGCAATGTGTCTTATCAGGTTCGGCTCTCGCTGCCCAAGCAAATCTGAGCGAATCCCATTCTTTGGGCAGTGACGCAAGAAGTCGTGCACACTTGATATCATTTGCAACTATAAAACCAGTTTCAGTAGGGTTGTTTTGAAGGTTTTTAAACATGGTGAGATTGTCTTCCATTGGTTTGTTTTTGAGAAACTTGAAGGACATGAATTTCGAAATTGCTGTATCTTTGACGATGCCAGTTTGGTTTGCGAATCTTCTCTTGATCTTTCCATAGATTTCGCTGGTAGTGAGAGTTTCGGTTTCACCATAGAAGAGAGTTATGATAAGATTTGGGTGAATAGAAGAATAGAGAATTTGTTTTCCGAGTAGATTTGCTGCCTTATATTTTCTGACTTGTTCTTTTCGAATAGTGGTCCACTCATTCCTTTCTTCCGTTCCTTCTTCTGGCATCACCAAAATCCCAGCAATAAGATCTACGACATCGTGATTTTGAGATAGATAGGGATAAGGGATTTCCAGGCCACGTAGTTCTGTCCATGCTCTTTCAGCGTGACTGGGCATTGTGTCAGGTTCTTTTTATACTCTGGTTCTGAGCCTGACATGTCCGGAATGGACATGTTTGATCCTGGTCTTAGAAAGTAAATGGTTGCTTACTTTTGTGGATCGTTGAAGAGCTAACTCGTGCTGATAACGTATTCGATATTCACGGGACACTCAGGTAGATCTCAGTCTCTCGGAGGACCCTCGTAAGGTCAAAGGAAAGCCGTGGGTGCTGAGAGACCTAAGATCTCTGAGCCGGTTGGGAGATCCTCGAACGGAGGCTACTCTGATCAAACGCAAAAACAAAGTGATCCCATCTGAGACGGAGTGATAGAGACTATCGGGAAGATATTCAGGCAGAAGATTTGTGCTGAGGTATCGGAATCAGTTTTTTTTCGGTAGTCCCGAAAAAAACGGATGAGACGCGAGATGCAGGCAAGATTGATCAGTTTACAGTCTGCCTCCGGTACGTCACTTCTAGAAACGATCAGAAAGTTGTGGTGGAAAACTTCTTGAAAACTTGCGAAGTGTCAGACAGGACGGGAAGTGGTCTCGCTAAGCTCATCTTGGAAACTCTGACGTCGGAGGGCATTGATATCACTAAGATGCGGGGACAAGGCTACGACGCGACGGGTGCAGTACAATGAGCGGTGCTTTAAAAGGATTTCAGACACGAATCGAATGAACAATACCTCGAGCGCTGTACTTTCATTGCGCAAGTCACAGCCTAAACCTCGCGATGGTTCATTCCTCGGAGATAATCACGATAAGAAATGCTGTGGGAGCTATTGCCAGCGTTTGCGCCTTCAAATCGAGCTCTTCCCCGCGCATCGCCGCGCTCGAGCATCAAGTCGAGCGTCATTGCGACACCATCGTAGGTCGGCGACTCAAGCCGCTCCGCACCACGGGATGGATAGAGAGTCACAAAGCATTCATCACGTTCAAGGAAATGTCACGGATACTCCATTGGTACCACAATAAAGCTCGATGGTGGCGTCTTGGTCGGGTTTCCCTCTTGCCCCGAATCCCTCTCGCCCTGTGGCAATCGACGAGGTTCGGCGAGAACGTGCAACATTCTCACGCAGTCCCTCTACCGCATTGCACGCGGTCCCGACCCGGAAGACCTTCACCTTCGAGTCTCACTCGAAAGTCAGTCTTTTCCTTTTCTTCCGTCCGTGAGAACCGGAATAGAAACTGTAGATGATGACGCGGATACTTGAGTTCGTTACCGGAACTGGGTTTTTTATTGTTTCCACAATTGGGCGCGAAGCCAGATGGCGCTGTCAGGATGGCGCTAGATATGAATCCTACAGAAACCGTAAATAACATTGGTGTCAGAAGGTTACAACCCCGCCGATCAACCAACCCAGCTTCTTCCATCTTCGTAATAGACATCCGCTCATCAGCGCTCAGTCTCCGAGTTCATCCGAGTTTCACTTGGATCGAACAAGAAATACCAGCCCACGTGTGCATATTCATCAGCAATCAACCCCTCGCAAGTAGGTCTCACCGAAGGCGACCCGGTTCCCGGAAGTCTGCGAGTTCCCGATCGCCACGCGGAGATTGCACGTTGCATGTGTACGCTTCGCAAATCATCCTCATCGCACGAGTGCTTCCTCACCACTCTGTGAGTACTCGCCATCGATCCATTCCGTCTCACGGAATCCAGGGAAATCCGTCTCACGGAATCCCCCACCAGATTCCTTATAGTCGACCCTTTGCGGAGTGCTCCCAGGCCAACCTCAAGCGTCCAAATCGCCTCGGTTGGAGTTGCCTCCCCCCTCTCGACTAGACAACACGAAAATCGCGGATTCTTCCCGTCCGTTCAAGATATTTCTCGTCCCGCGTCTCACGCGACTCCTCTTGGGATCCCAATAATCTCGCTCTCGTCGCACGATGAGCTCAGAAAATAAGACCCTGATCTCAGTGGAGGAGGGAAATGTCGGTGAAAGTTCAGATTTCTTCATTGCAGTGCAGCGTCTCAAGCTGAGACCAGTGGCGTCCGTAGGATTTTTTCTTGGGGGGGGCCAAAACATTTGCTCCGATCTCAAGACTCGAACTTCAACATTTCTCTCTTCGAGTGCGATTCCACCATCGGAAACAAGTATAGAGGGCTCACAAATGTTTATTTTTATTATGTACAAACGTTTTCTCGTGCAATGAGCGGTACAATTCCAGAAGAAGGCTCCTGAGACAACTGATCAGAGAACCAAGTCAAGTCTTCTAGGTTTTGATGCTAGGGAGTCGAGAATCTCATCGGGAGCTACACAAATTTCAGGATGGATTCGCATCGATGCCAAACCGTTCAATCTTTGTTCAGTCATCGTCGACCTGAGATATGTTTTAAGTAAGCGCAGAACGCTGAACGTTCGTTCTGCGGAGGACGTTGTCATTGGGAGGACTGCGAAAATTTTCAGCAAGATTACCATCTTGGGAAAACTCGTCGGGCAGCAGTGGTTGAGCGCGTAAATGGCAGTGACCGGCCTCGCTGCTTCCGGAGCTTCTGACCACTTGGCCTTCCATCTCCGATATTCCTCGCGAACCACACTCGTACTACAGTCAAGGTCTGCTTCGTAAAAAGAAAGAACGCCCGCGAGATCGTCGAAGGAACTTCTTTCGACGTGATTCGGAAGCAGGAACTGAATTTTCAGGGCTTCCTCTCGCATGTCTTGAAAAAGCGAGGTGAACTCCTCCACTAGGCGGTCCGCATACGGGAGGTAAACGCAAACTCGGAAGTACTGCTCGATGCTATCCGAAGCATGATTGTCTCTCTGGGTTTGACGATTACAGAGACGCGGCAGACGAATGTCAATTTGAAGAGCAGCACAAGTGGTTGTGGCTTCATCGAAGATCGTTTTGAAGTCAGAGTCCGCGTTGAGTCTCGACGAATTCAGCTCATTTCTAAAGCTTTCGATGGCATCGCGGGCGGCGAAAACGTCCAAGCTCTTTGATTGCAGCTGGATGGAGAGCGGGAGGAAAAGCGCAGCGAAGCGCTCGATGACAAAAAGTGAAATGACGAATTCGCCCTTGCAGATCGCACAGAGTAATTCGTTCGCGCGAGCCGACGGGTCCCCCCTCTGGGTCGCGATCGTCTCTAACGTGCTGACCATGGGACTCAGAAGTTCTTTGAATGTTATGAACGCTTTATGGCTCTCCACCCTACGTGTTGCACAAAGAGGCTTCAGGCGCCGGCGCCGTGCTCTGACCTCCGGCATCATGGTTTCGACCGTGTCGTGTAGCAACTTCACCCGGCAAGGGGAAGCGCTCATGAATGAACAGGTGCTGGCGATAGTGCCTACCGTCAGTCTGATTCTCGTATCGTCAATCGAATGAGCCAACGCCAGGTTCAGACAGTGGCTGGCGCAGTGGGAATAGAGGGCTTTCGGAACAATTTTCTTAATCTCCGCTTGAACACCCTTGTACTTCCCTCTCATCGAGCTACACCCGTCATACCCTTGGCCTCTCATGTTCGCGACGATTATCCCCTCTTCGTGCAGGGCTCGGGTTATTGTCGCGGCTAAGCCGGCGCCAGTCTTATCTGTCACAGCGGAAAACGAGAGAAAGTTTTCTCGCAGAACCTGTTGTCCATCGAACGACGAAACGTAGCGGAGGCATATCGTGAGCTGATCAATTTTACTGATGTCAGTTGTCTCGTCTGCCAGCACCGAGAAGAACCTGGATGCGTTCACTTCAGCTACGATCTTTTTCCTTGTCAATACACCGATGGAGTCTATCACCTCGTTCTGAATTCGCACGCTCGTGTAGGCGGCATTCCTCCCACATTGGAGAAAATGCTCTTTGAGACTTTCGTCACCTGCGTCCATTCGGAATCGCAACAACCCTCGGAAATTGCCGTCGTTCTGTTCAGTTTCGTCAATGTTGCCGGAAACTTCGATCCCCGCGTCTCTGTGTCCACGGAGAGCCACCCCTTGCTTACCGCAAAAAATAATCGTTTTGATGATCGGTATCCATCGTGATCTGTTCTTCGCAATTTGTTGTTGACGTCCTTTGTCAACGAGGCTCCTGACGTCAGTGGAATCTCCGTTTCCAAACCTTTCGATGAAATTTCTGCCATCGAGTTCTGCCTCCTGGTGGTAGCGAGTCTTCTTGTGCTCTGCGAAAACTTGTCGAGCTTTCTTGTATTTATTCTGAGGCGAGCTAACGAGAGACTTCGGTATCCACTGTCTGCCTGGACCGGAACTTTCGGTCTTCGCGAAAAGGATACAAAACTTGCACAAAGCACCCCCTCCATGAAGCTCAGTGTAGGCCAACCACGGCCGTTCCCTGAGGTAGTGCAGCTGGAATGCTCGAGTTTGCTGACCCTCCGCCACCTTTGGAAAAACATAGTTCGCGTCAGGCTTCCAGCAATTGAACAGCAGTTCATATTTCTGTCTGTCAGTCGGACGCGGTAAGAGAGAATCCTGGGAGCTCCTCATCTGGTGGCCGATGTCAAGAGGATTAGTCAAAACGTTTGTTCTCTTCGACGGCGGCGAGACTGTAGGTGATTCGTTTCGAGCCGTTGAAGATTCAGCCGACGGAGGGATCCGCTCGGATCCGCGGATCCCTCCGTCGGTCTGCCGAAGAAATGGTCCAGATTCCTTTGCCTCTTCATCTCGACTCCCTCCGACCGAATGGGGATACGAACGTATGGAACAGCTCTGAACTTTCTCACAAGGGAGAACACGGCGACTCCGAACAGTAGGAAACGACTTTGACGGATTCACAAACAGATCCGTCGTCGGCTAAATAGTTGTCAGCTCTCTCTTTCTCCGGGATGCCGAATTCCGGCAGTAGCGGTGCCAATGATTCTAGTCACCATTTCTCGTATTTCTCAGGTCATTCGATCCCACAGCGACCTGTCTCCCACTGACCGGCGACGAAATGATGGAATACTATTTTTTCTCCGCTCACGTCAAAGTTTATTGAATTAATACCGATGAAGCTCTCAGCCTGTCCGATCCCACTCAGTATGCAAGCGGGAAAACCTCCCGAAACTTGAAGTTTGATAGTATGAACACCTCGGCTTGGAGGGGGGCTATATCCCCCTTAGCCCCCCCCCCCTCGCGGACGCGCCTGGCTGAGACGCTCCACTCTCACAAAAACTCTGAATAAGGCTAAGCAGATCATCAGCGACAAGACGGACTCTGAGGACTACTACAATAGAGCGTTCCGTCTAAACGGCGCTATCAAAGCTGCAGCTAAAGTAACAGCAGAAGTCTTCGAGGGACTCGTTTCCTGCGCCAAACGAGACAACGCAGTTTCGAAATTGGAATCTCAGTTCTCTCGACAGATAGAGTACGAGGAAAACACCGACGACATACTAGAAGAGTTGCAGGCCAGGATCGATGCGGTCGCAGCGAAACTAAAGATCCTCAACGGACGTCCGTCAGCTTCGATCCTATCATCGTAGCTCCGCGAAGATGCTGCTCCCAATGAAAGAATTCAGGAAGGCCCGGAGGACCCCGAAACTCAACAGCGAGATTCTTCACAAGCAGAGGGTGATTCCGACGCTACAACTGAAGCCGCGGGTAGTCTCAACACATCGCAAGCTCCGGCATCACCACCTTCCCAGCCCGGATCTCCAAACCCTCACTGGTCCGAGTAGGATCTCGCCTCCAAAGTACCAAAATTCAACGGCGACGTCGCATGGTTTGAGGAATGGTGGGAGCGTTTCCATTATTATATCGACTCAAGACAGATTGACAAGACCGAGAAATGCCGCATCCTGAAGCGTTCTTTGGTGGGCCAGGCGGCCAAGGAAGTTTGCTACATAAACGTCAGCGCCGATCTCTACGAATTGATGAAGGATTCTCTGAAGTCCCGTTTCGGCGACCCAGAGTACGCTCAGCAGGCGCACATGCACCAAGTCATCACCACCTGTAGAGCAAGAAACCTTGCTAGGAATGATAAGTTCATAGAGTTCGTCACGTCTGTCTCACAGAACGTGCACGCCCTTGTAGCGCTAGGTAGCAACTTCGCCTCGCTGTCTCTGACTGTCGCTCCGATGACTCTAAGTTGCATTCCCGAAAATTACCGTCTGAAGTTCAATGAGTCTTGGGCCGACGAGAAAGCAAAAGGTTCAGTCCAACCAGAATCTCTCATACGCTTCCTCCAGAGGCAATCTAGAAACTTAGAACAAAGTAACAAGCAAGCCAGCTTCGCCCTCTCTGAAAACCCAGGCTCCAGCAAGCCAGACAGGAATCGAAGATTCGCTGACAGAAAAGACTCTTCTCAGAATGCTGGCAAGCCCTCCTACAATCGAAGACAGCAATTCTCTTTCGCCGGCGTAATCCCAGACCCGGTATGCATTTTCTGCGCCAAGAAGCATAAGAGCTTCGAATGCCAGGAAAAGTTATCGCCGAGCGACAGGCGGAAGATATTGGAGGAGCAAAACGCATGTGCCAGATGTTTCAGGAGAAATCATTCTAGCGACAAATGTAGAGCTAGGGCGAGCAACTGCGAGAAATGCAAAGGACGTCATAACGTCATGGTCTGTCCCAAAGGAGGTCGATCTCCGATTCTCGGAACCAGCCCGACAGACAAAACATCAGCGTGCCAATCGGCACCCAGCGCGGATTCTCTCGGCACCTTGCTCCAGACGGCCTACGTTTGGGTGGTCAACGGGAGCAAAAAAGTCATTTGTAGAGCAATCTTTGACCCAGGGTCACAGCGCTCATTCGTTTCGAATAAGATCGTCAAGCTGCTCAATCTAAAGCCAGTAGCTCAAGTAGATCTCAAAGTCCACGGAATCGCGGGACGAGTCTCGAATAATCATATGAACATCGTTCAAATAAGACTAAAAAGTAGATTCTCAGATCAGCAAATTGTCATCGGCTGCCTCCAGGTGCCCACTGTTATTTAAGGCCCAATTCCGAGAGCCCTATGCCCAAGCGATCTCTCCCCTCTAGCCGACTCCAGAGAGCCCGATTGCTCAGACGTCATCGACGTTCTAATCGGCGCCGATGCCCTCTACTCAGTTTACTGCGGCATGTACCGCAGGGCGGGCGAGTACACGGCTTCACCAACCATTTTCGGTTGGGTTCTCTGGGGAGCTGGCGGTAGCAACGTGTATACCAACTCGGTTATCACGTCGTGTGGTATCCTTCAGGATTACGGGAGCAAGTCAAATGATCTTGCAGTTTACGCGCCGTCCAGAGCTAAGAACCATTCAGACGATCTAGAATTCCTGTGGAAAACTGAAGTTCTCGGAATAGAAAACTCGGAGGCTAATGACAACAAATCCTCCTTAGCAATGGAAAAGTTCTTCAAAGATACCATCAAGCTCTCTCCAGAGGGTAGACTCTTAGTATCATTACCCTTCAGGGGAAATAAGCGCACTCTGGGCTCAAAGTCGCTCACTCTCGATTAATAGGTCTCTTAAGAAACCTGAATAAGAAGCGTTGGAAGAGGCAACGAGCGGCTCTCTGATCATTCTGGAAGCAATTTCAGAACGAGTTACCACAGCACCTGCGGTTGCTCCACTTCGCGAAGTTCCGAACTCGCGCCCCATCAAAAAAGGCGATATCTGCCTGCTTCACCGAGCAGAAGCGTCTCGGGCCTTCTGGCCGCTTTGTATAGTTCAAGGAGTTTTCGGCGGGGAGAGCACCGACTCGCGTCGGAGGTCGTGCCTCAGAAAAACGAGTCCGGGTCAAACCCTCAGGAGATCAATACAGATCCTACACCCGTTCGAAAGGGAGAAAGTGAAATTGTAATATTTATCAAGTTCTTTCGCCCGGGAGTGTCACGGATACTCCGTTGGTACCACAATAAAGCTCGATGGTGGCGTCTTGATCGGGTTTCCCTCTTGCCCCGAATCCCTCTCGCCCTGTGGCAATCGACGAGGTTCGGCCGGAACGTGCAACATTCTCACGCAGTCTCTCTACAGCGTTGCACGCGGTCCCGACCCGGAAGACCTTCACCTTCGAGTCTCACTCGAAAGTCTGTCTTTTCCTTTTCTTCCGTCCGTGATAACCGGTATACAAACCGTAAATAACAGGAAATGCTAGTGCCGATTGTTGGCGCCCTAGAAATCGCCATGACAAGGAGAGATTCTAGTCACCGAGCCGAGGAGCTCCTATCTTCGATTTGCAAACGTGAATCCCTCGTCGCACTCCTGGTCATCGAGAGTTTGGCATCGCTCGTAATGCCATTATCAGTTGCGCTACAATCGACCGAACTGGACGTTTCTCGCGCCCTGGAGACGGTGGACAGTATGACTGCTGTCTTGCGGCAGCGGCGAGAAAACGCCGAAGCAGCTTTCGGAGCGATTTTCGCAGAAGTTTGCGCGCTTTGTTCTCTGATGGAAATTGACTCGAAACTGCCTCGATTGTGCCACGTTCTCAATCGACCGAATCATCCTTCGCAGACTGTGGAGGAATATTTCAGAGTAAGCCTGTACACTCAATATGTTGATATGTTGATCGTGGAAATGGACACTCTCTTCAATGACTGTAGGCAAGAGGCCATGAAGATTCAATACCTTGCGCCGCGATTCATCGAAAATAGCTGTTCTGAGGATTTGGAACATGTGACTGAGTTCTACCAGGGTGATCTTCAATGCAGCCGAAGCACTATAAAAGGCGAATACGAGCGCCGGAAGCTGAAGTGGTTCCAGACTCCCAGAGTAGAGCGGCCACGGAATGCTGTGGACGCCTTGAACTATTGCGTGGCTGATGATTATCCAAAAATATCGACTTGACTGCAAATTTTCGCGACTCTGCCGGTTACCACAGCAAGTCCCGAACACACCTTTAGCATCCTCAGATTGCTCGAAACACATCTCCGTTCAACTATGAAAGAGGAACGGCTCAACGGCCTCACGTCGATGAAGATACATCGCGAAATCGCGATCATCCCTGAGGAGGTCGTCGAAGCACTCTCCGCAAAATCGAGGAGACTCGATCTGATCCTCTTACTGCCCAGGAAAAAACCGAGCCTTTCAACTGTTTGTTATCGCTTTCTGTTTGCGATTCTGCACAAATGTAAATAAATTCATTCAATGAGTTAGATCACAGAGGAAAAGCTCTTCTCACTCCTCTTTTGAATTGAGAGAATTTGTCTAATAATAGGGCTTCCAAAGAGCAGTGAAGTCCTGAGTGAGACGTCCCCGTCATCACTGAGTGGACCCCCAAAAAAAAGCTGGGTACGCCCCTGTGTACGGCGATGGGTGCCGAAGCAGCTAGATGTCTACGCAGCTGCGGATTCGGCACAGGCACCGGCATAAATGAAAGACGCGGGTTCTCAGACTGTACCGGGGTGCGCTCTCTTCAGCCAGCGAGAAGCCCTAGGTATAACTTAGGCTTCCCTTTCTCTCTATGAGAATCTAGAATAAGAACACCTCAATCTCATAGAATAAACCACAGTCTTGTGAAACCTCTGCCCGAGTGTATCTTCGATCCTGCATCCGAGTGTCAGCGCCTGAACTCAAGTCTCCCTACTGGTGAAATCGTGCCGCCGCGGGAACGTTCCGTTACTTTCGAGTTCTCTCCGCCTACCCACAACACCTGACAAGTTTTGATCAGACAAGTTCCAAGCGGGGGATCGAAAACTCTGACTCCAGAGGAGCCACTCTGGCCTTCGATGCTACGAAATGTACCTCAGCGCCACCTGTGTCAAGGAGCTCTCGAATGTAGACAACTGTGCCGAACGCTTCCATCGAGGCGTCGCAGAACGCGCGCAGCTCTCTCTTCTTGGCTACCGGCTGGGATGCGAGGAGGTTCCTGTTTACAAACACTCCACGCGCTTCTCCGAGCGTGTCGGCGAAGTTCTTGAATGATTCTAAATTTTCCTCAACGAGTAAATCGTCCCTACTAACTTTCTGACGCCACAGTGATTGCAATAAGGCCTTCGCCTTAATGGTGACTGGTGAAATAAAGCCGAGTGGATCGAAAATCTGTGCCGTTCCCCCCAGCAGAGTGCGCTTTGATGGCGGATTAGAACCGAGAGTCTCCAACGCCGACTGGACACCGATACACAGACTGCCCGATGGCTGATTCCAGCTGAGCCCAAGAAACTTGGAATCGGGTTGATCGCTCACTATTTGGATATCCGGGTCTTTTTCCATTTTCCGCAACTCCGATGCCAACGCTGAGTCATTCGTCGCCCACCGACGGAGCTTGATCCCGCCCGCACTGAATGCGTCGAACATGAATTCGGATATCTCACGTACTCCCGACACCAAATTCGCAGACGCCACTAGATCATCCATATAAAAGTTCCGGTCGATGTCTTGTAAAAGAGTGGATCTTTCGGGATATTGCTCGGCGAGCTGGCCGATATGATGTTTGATGCCCGCACAGTGTATGAATGGGCTCGAAATTATCCCGAAATCTAGGACTGGGCTCCAAAACTCTCGGATGAGCGCCTGCGGGTCTCTGCTGATGCCTAGGGGCCAGAAGAAGCGCGGGAAAGTTCTGCGGTCCGAATGAATCCCGTACTGCAGGGAAGCGTTCTCTATGTCCGAGACGATCGCGATATCGCCCTGTCTGAACCTCAACAGAACTTGGACGACATCGGGCAATGAGTCATCTCCGCAAGTCATAAATTCGTTCAAGGCCGCTTAGTCTCTTCTTGGCGCGCCTGCATCCTCGACGACTCTTACCTTGACAAACTCCGCGGCCAAATTTCGTTCAATGACTGGCAACAGCGGTAGATAATGTACGAGCTCTTTCGGTTTCTTCGGCTTCGCGATTTAAGCGTAAGCTTTCTCTACGTACTTTTTCATCTCGTCGTCCAACGAGCTCAATAGTTCTATGTTGTTATGCGTCTTGGCGAGTAGGCGATTTAAACTGCCGCGAGCTATGTTCTCATTATCGCCAAGGGTCCGTAGGTTGTTTTTGAATGGCAGGGTCACCATATAATGACCGTTTCCCAGGCGTGCCCTCAATGCCGAGCCCTCTTCGATGTCTCTGAGGTCCGACTGAGGCTCGATTCCTAACAACTCTGTTGACCACAGATTCTGTAATCCGCTGCTAGCTCTTCGTTCGGACTTCTATCTCTGGACCGCTGGACGGTCGGGCTCGGATCGAGTCAGTCTCCCTCGCGACTAGCGATGTCAAGTTCACGACTTCAGAGCCAACGAAGGTTCCCGGCTGGTATAGGTTGGAGGTCAGGAATGCTGACGTATCTGCTCCCACCGCACGTTCCCTTGCCCGACAGCACCCACGAAATATGGTGCTGGTCGCTGCGATGCGATCCTCGAAAATACGTCCCTCACCGCGCGAGACCTTCGCTAGGAAATCCTGACCGATAAGAATTGGTACCACAAGGTATCACGGGAAGAAGAAAGGATTTTCAACGAAACAACGAACTTGAAGCAATGGAAAGACAAAGGGTACCACGGATACCACAGGAAGAAGTCACGTTTTTCAGCGATCCAAGAAAAAGTGCTTTTTCCTTAATTTTACCGTGCATAACACATACGTTGTGCCGTGTAAAAGAGTGCTTAGTGTCTGTGGACTGTACTGAACACACAAAATCGCCCGTTTCAAACAGACATGGCGGAAGCGAGCGACCTAACATTTCATGCCTGCGACGGCTGCAAATCAATGGCCGCATCCTTGGAGGTAGGGGCGGGACATTGTTGTATAGTCGGCAACATGAATAGCAAGCTCGTAGCCGTCGAAAATAAGCACGAGGCAGCCTTCGTTGCGGCCAACGAAAAGGCACTTGAGGTAGAAGGACTCAAGACATCACTGGCCGAAGCAGAGGCGAAAGTGAGCGTCCTTGAACTTAAACTCCTCGCGCACGAAGAAACGCTCACCACAACCAGAGCTGAACTCGAGGCCGCGAGAAAGCTTTGCGAGTTGTCCGTTGACCAAGCCGCCCTGGGGGTGACTGCAGCTCTGCAGCTGTCTCGGACATGTCCATCGAGGAGCTCCTAGTAGTCCGTCAGAAGAAACTGTCAAAGGTGTGCGCGCTAGCATACCTTGACAGGATCTGCCGTGAACTACGATACTCTGATGGCTCAGAGTTCGACCTCAGAGTTTGGCGAGTTTAGAGTCAAACAGGAGATGCTCTTAGCTGACGTGATCAGCAGTGCTCGCAGACTCTGCGTCGACTTCCCAAACCGTCAAGCCCATGTGATTGTCCATGCGGGTGCGGCAGACATCTCTGAAGCTCTAAGCAGTGCGACTCCATGTGGCTTTGAGGAAATAGCTGCGAAGATCATCGGTCCACTCGCCGAACTGATGGCCCAGGAGGCAAACATCCTCTCGGTAACATGGTGCACCATGATCGAGCCCGCGGACGGTCACCATATCAGGCAGATCAATCAATTCATCAAAGCCCCCGATGAGGTGAAGTCCCTGAGACAAACTGAGGTCCTTGAACTTAGAATGATCCCAGCGAACGAAGGCTGCATCCTTACTGAAGGAGAGGTCACTTGTTATACTGACTGCGGACTCCGTGTACTTCGTGACTGGGTCGATCAGACACTTAAGTTGGAATTGGGGATTACTCCCGACAATTTACCAGAACTTGGGTTTCGCGAAAAGTACGAAACGGAGACGGAGGACTTCGCTGAACTTCGTGCCGCCCAGCGAAAAGAGTTCCTGAAAAGGAAACGACTCCTGAAGAGAGTCATCCGTGAGGCACAAGGCACAGTATCCAGCGAAGGCGATTCCGACGACGAGCCGGTTCGCCCTAAAAAAGCAGCCGCGCCCCCGACGAACCGAGCCGAGGCCAAAAAACAGAGCTCAGGCAGAAGGGATCACGTCCGGGATCTCCGCAGCGCCGCTGGTGGTAGCGACGACAGAGCGACGCGGCACCCCAACAAACCGGGGCCATCACGCCAAGTTCGCGGTCATCACAGCCAACATCAACCAGCTGCTCCAACCCAAGCAGTAAGGCCGCGGAAAGCTCCGAAAGCACACGGACCCGCCGGCCAGCCTGCTATTCCAAAAGCGGAGAAGCGTTCGAGAGTCCCCGACACACCGACAGACTCCAA